AGTCCTCACAGCTCAGGGTTGTCCCCTGTAGGCCCAGCTACTCATCTGCAAAGAAGGATGCCATTAGCTCCCCTACACAAACACACACACACACACACACACACACACACACACACACACACACTGCTGAGCCCTAATGGGCAGGTTCTCTGCAGGGCCCTGAGGACCCGGTGGAAAATGAGGCTTCTTGGATTGCTTTGAGCCACTAAGGGCCATTATGTGGCCTGCAGGAGGCGGCATTTGAAGTCCCCCTTAGCCTTGTAAACAATGCAGCCTCAGGGAGCCTGGGGTTCACATCATTAGTGAGCACTTGGCTAGCTTGATCAAAACCAACAGTGGAGCCACCAGCCCCCCAATAAAGCCTGTGATCTTGTGACCTGCTGTGAGAATGGGGGGTGGGGGGGTGGAAGGCAGAGGGATGGCCTGAGCCCCCCTCTCTCCTCAGCTCTGGAAGGGGCCCTGCACCGGTCTTCTGCCCAGCCTGACAACTCCTCCGACAGCGACTATGACCTGCATGGGGCACAGAGGCTGTGAGAGGTGAGCGGGCCCCAGGCTGATGCTGCCCCTGATAGGTAAGTGTGAGCTGTCTGCACCGAGCACCTTGATTACGAAGAAGTGGGAGGGCAGCCTCATATCCATCATTTGGGAAACTGAGTCCCTGAGTGGCTCATATGGGTAAGGCTGTGGGTTCAAAATCACCCAGAGGCACCTTGGAATAAAAGCCGGGTGATCTGCTTCCGAAAGGTCACGGCCGTTGAGCATCAAGCACTGAAAACCCTAGTGAGTCGTTCTAACTCATGGCGTGCATCAGGGTGCCATGAGTCTTGACGGCAACTGGTTTGGGCTGGGCTTTTAACTTAGAGGGTGGGCGCCAATTCCAATTCAAGGCAACCCCATGAGTGTCAGAGTACATCTGTGCTACGCAGGGTTTTTAGTGGCTGATTTTTTTGGAGTAGATTGCCAGATCTTTCTCCCAAGGCACCCCCTAGGAGGACTCTAACCTGCAAACTTTCGGTTAGCAGCTGAGCACATTCAATGTTTTCACACACACACCGCCCCCCAAGGACTCCAGCAGTTGGAATAGAGCACAGGACTCTATTTTAAGATTGTTGTTGTTGTTGTTAAGTGCCGTGAAGTCAGTTCCGACTCATAGCGACCCTGCACAGGGTTTCCAGGGCTGTTCATCTTTACGGGAGCAGAAAGCCTCATCTTTCTCCCGCGGAGCAGCTGGTAGTTTCAAACTGCTGACCTTGAGGTTCACAGCCTGATTCGTAACTACTACGCTATCAGAGCTCTCTGTCTCAGAGCCCCTGAGTATTCCATAATGAACTTGTGCCCTTCTCAAGCTGCTCAAGGAGCCCTGGTGGCACAGTGGGTTAAATATTGGTGATTAAACAAAACATGCAATCAAGATGTATTGATCATGACTGGTGACTGCAATGCAAGGGTTGAGAACAAACAGGAAGGATCAGTAGTTGGAAAATACGGCCTTGGTGATAGAAATGATGCTGGAGAACACATGATAGAATTC